ATAATATTAATGTGATCTAGATTTATAGTTGTATGAAAATAATATGTCTGCTTTAAAATATTTTGTATTATACTATAAACTATTTGTAACTCTTATCTATAATACATAAATATAAAATATGTTTATACTTTTATAGGTATTTCTCCATAGGCGATTCACTTAACACGTCACATTAATATTATTATGTTTAGGATTTTTTTTATTTATCATCTCCCTATATGATACACAGAAATCACATTTATTTATAATAACAGTATTATAGCGAATTCACCGTCATATACTAAGTTAAATGCCTACGCCCTACACTCATTAATTCAAAAGTTCTAAGTTTTTTGAAAATATTCTTCTACAGTAATTTTATAAAAATTTTATAAATTAAATGAATTTCTATTAAGTCTATTGTCAATAATAATATGCATATATCAACATATATACTTGTTGTAAATTAAAATTACAAATTGATTGTTTTAAAATAAAGTTAAAAAAAATTATATTTCATAACAAAATTTCTGAAAAAAAAAATATTATTTTTAATTTTTTGAATGACGTCTTACGTCTTTTATTTCATATTCCGAAGTAAAATATCTTTCAGAATATTTTGATCTATAAAAATTATTTTGCATACAAGAAATTCATTAATTGTTATAAATATTTAAAATTTAGATTAGCGGAATAGGAGACAATATTTTCCTGTACCAATCTACTCCACTCATCTAAACTTTAATTACTACAATGTCAGCAATACATGTCCGAAAATTTATATATTTACAAATTGAAATTTCTCGAATAATTCTCTGCTTTTTAATACGAAATTTAAAAGTACGATGTCCTACAAAAAATATATCATAAAATAATAACGATATAAAAATTACTAAAAAATGTAATTTTTTACTCAGAATTATTGTTTGAAATACATAAAATTTTGTGAAAAAATAGTGTAGTCACTTAAATGGATCATTCTGTATATTATACTATTATGAAGGAGACATATGATATTGTGCCACACACTGGTCAACTGAAGTCTAAACAACAACAACAATAATAATAATAATAATAATAATGTGTGCAATGCATTTTTTTTCGCGGTGCGTCCATGTTACGGATGGGACAAAAAAAAAATGAAATATAGAAGTTTGCCAAGACCTATAAACATATATATATTATATATTATATTATGAGATATTAAGAACGTATTATGTTTAAGGAGGAAACATTTATACGGACCACTGGCTTATATTGTTATTAAAAAAATTAACAAGCCGTTTTATAATATATAAGTACTACTAACCTTGAAGTTGTCTATGTTTTGCGGTCAACATAATATTATATTATTGTAAAAATCTTCTGCCACTGCAGTCGTTTYAGTAATATTTGAATCTCATCAGAATTATCATACCCATATTACTCATTAGGCATGTGAACATTATTTTAAACATAGACTAAATTTAAAATACAATTGTCCTGTAAATAATAATAGGTATATTAAATTATAATATTGAATTTTTCTATTACGGCATTAACGGATGCTCTTAAGACTTCGGCTGAAACCACTCGTTACTGAAAAGTAGTTTTTAATATTTTTAGCGCATAGGTCAGAAATACAATCACGCGTGTAGTTATTCCAAAGATATAATTTTCAATATCATATTGTATCTAAACTCAAGAATTTTGTAATTTTGTAATTATTTTATATCCTAAATGCAAAATAACTTTTAAAACATATTCAGATATAATACAATAAAAATCAAATTGCTCGTACGTAATAACGTATTATTAGTATAGATTTTAATCGGTTTAGGTCATACACGAAACTCTTAAGTCATTTTTATAATGTATTAAAATTTTGATTTCCGTTCATATTCGGAGTTACTATTATACAAAATCATAATATAACGATTTCATAGTTATTTTGTTTATACGTATAATGATATGTATTCGCCAGAGGCCAAACGTATTAAATGTATATAGTAGGTACCTGGTAAGGTACTTGCGAATAGGTACGTCATCCAGATGAGCGTAGAGACTTGCAAAAATCATGTTTATTTCTCGTCGGGCTTGATGATAATATGGTTTATGGTTGTGGTGTAAAATATAATATATACATATATACATTACATATATATATATATATACCTACATTATTATTTATTTTACGGAAATAATCGATTTGATATCTGTTTACTCAGAACACSGGTTTTCCGTTTGCACAATTTGCATGAATATGAAAACAACAACCTTTTATACAAAACCGGTTTCGTACAGCAATCGTGTAAATTAACAGTTTTTAATGGTTTTTATATATTGATAGCTTGTCTTGAGACYATAGTAGTAAAATAATGTACGATAATAGTGGCTTTATATTAAATTATCGCGAGATCGTCTCAGTAAGAATTCGTGCTTGAACGGCTAACAACAACGATGTCGGTGTGTCGACTGTCTGTCGTCTTATTCCGTAAGTAATTAATACGATTAATGCATAATATTTATAAACAGCTATATGACAGAAGTGGTATCTAGGGATAAATCAGTGGCAGGGCTAACATTTTATACACCTTTGGATTTTTTTTCACACCCTCAGAGTCCTGGTACGCGTATTAAGTTAATTGTAGGTACACAATAATTTGTACTTAATCTTAGCACAAACTTCCGAGACGATAATTATTTTTAAATTATAATWTAAATATTATTTATTATTATCTATTATGTACTATGTCATCATACGATTGTAGGTACCTACAGGATACGTTCAATCGTTGATTATTGCATTTTTTATAGTTAATTAAGACCATTATATTGATTGTATTCGTAATTTCGTAAATAARTCATGAAACAAGAATATATTATTTTAGATGACTAAAAAACAATACATAAAAAACACATTATTCTTTTAAGATTATTATTTTAAATCAGTACTTTTGAAGTATAAACATGGTACAACGAGAGTTTTTGTAATAATTATTCCTCGTCAGTTTATATTAAAATTAAATAATATCATCTCAAGTAAGTCATCTTAAAAATTATATTTTGATATTATACACAACCTGCCGTATAATCCATCATATACTCGTAGTATCATACTCAAATCATTATACAATATACATATATGTACCTATATTCAAATTCAAATCCARTTACAAAACATGCTAATTTATAAAATGTAAGGTTTCCAAACATGCCATGTTCTTTTATAATTTATAATTTTGGTAACCAAACGGACCATACTTGGAACGGAATTTCATCGATCCCACTACCAGTACGGGTAGATTTAAAACAACATTTCGATTTCGTCAATTTGAAAATGTAGGTAGGTTGAGTTTTTTTTTTTTTAACAGTAAAACACATAAAAACTATGACAACTCAATCAGGTACTCCAATTTAGTAGACCTGGTTTATAATATTTACAATGAATAATAGTTTAGTTAAATATTATACTAATGAACGCGATAATTATTTTTACGATTATTATTATTAAACCTCGACAAACATCAAACGTACAATGAGTATACAAGGTTATATTTTCAGCATTTTATTTCATAATTAAAAAAACGAACAAATTTCATAAAAAAAAATCATTTTCAGAGATACTGAAGGTCAAGAACAAAGCATCTACTTTAAACAATTATATATTGTTATTTACCTATTTGTAAAAATTCAAGAAAAGCATCTTAAAATGATAGTTTAGATAAGCAAGAAAAAAAAGATAGGTACTATTTAAATAAATCCGTACCATACAAAACATGTATTTGCCTGAACTTTCTGTAAAATTTAGATACCTACCAATATCATTAATGAAAGTCCCTCAATACTTCGTACAAACTTGTTAATTTCACGTACATATTAAACAAGCTTCTGCACTTTAAAATAGAGTGGCCCGAGTCCCCAAAACACTATGAAAAAATAATGCGATCGAATTATTTTAAAGTTGAACTTTTTTGTAGTAAAAAAACATAAACAAATATTTTTTTAATACATATAGGTAAATATTAATAGGATTTAATAAATTACTATATAATTTTTGATAAGCTAATAACTACTGTAAATGGTATTCAGTACATGTTATGTTAATATCATAATATAGATAAACTGTAATTTTTTATAAGTAAAAACATTTTATTATGTATTTCATATGTTATATCTTAGAAATTAATAAGGCTTATTATAACGTAATTGAATTATTTGAAAACAATATCGTGTATTGTGTACGTCATCCGACACATATTCAAAAATAAAAATATGTATGTAATATTATTATTTAATATTTATTTATATGATTATTTCTTAAACTCAATTAAATTGCTGATAATTCAATAATAATTATAAAAAAAATACGATTTATATTATAAAATTTAATAACATTATAAAATACGAGATCTTATAACAATCTTTTTCAATCTAGACAAATTATTGACATTCATATTATTTTTGTTTGTTCTTGAACTTGACAAACGAGTATATAATTATCACTTCTTTAGTTTAAGCGATTACTACCTATATCCATTAAATATTCATACAAGGAATTTCGTTTATATAGGTATACAAGCACTGATTGATTACCTAAACATAAATTTCCGAATAAGTATTTTTACTATATTTACTATTTATATTTCATAACCACATATTATATTATGCTTTTCGTTATATTATTTATGTTATTAATTATTATTTAAAAATGTGGATAAATATATGATTTTTACAATTTTTTAAATTACCATGYATGAAAATAAATCAATTCTAGACAAATTTTTTTTATTCGTAGGTAATTTTATCATACCCACGGTTATCGACTATTAGTAGATAACCGTGATCATACCTTAAACCAGTTAACCTTTATAACATATTATTAAGTATGTCATAGCCATTTAATCCTAATTAAAKAATTATCAATTTATAGTATGTTTTGGATTGATGGTTTTACCCATTTACGGTGAAGTACCATTGGACAATATCGTATTTCCCGAAACACTGAGTTCACGATATCAACATTCATCGTGGAACTTTAATAATGAACGACAGCCACCCAGAAGAACTGTAAGACAAGGAAATCGTCGTCCAAGACCACCGATGCCTAACGAGGGAGATCCATTTGCAGGACTCGAACCCCAAAATAATAACCGACCATTTAATGGAAACCAAGGCCAAKGGTCAAATCAAAGACCTAACCAACAACAGGTCACTGGTAATAGACCACCTAGTAATCAAAACCAATGGGGTACTAATGGTAATAATCAGGGTCAAAACGAATGGGGTTTCAACGGTAATAATCAAGGACAAAACCAAGGAGTTACCAACGGTAATAACCAGGGACAAAATCAATGGGGTACCAACGGTAATAACCAAGGACAAAACCAATGGAGTACTAACGGTAATAACCAAGGACAAAACCAATGGGGTACTAACGGTAATAACCAAGGACAAAACCAATGGGGTACTAACGGTAATAAYCAAGGACAAAACCAAGGGGTTACCAACRGTAATAATCAGGGACAAAACCAATGGGGTACTAACGGTAATAACCAGGRACAAAACCAATGGGGTACTAACGGCAATAACCAAGGACAAAACCAAGGGGTCGCCAACGGTAATAACCAGGGACAAAATAATCAAGGTAACAGACCAACTACACAATCGACTAACAATCAAAATCTTGAGCAAACYAGCACGACATCATCGAACAGTGAAGAGGTAAATGAAGCTCAACGCAACACATGCAATACGATTTGTAGAGAAAAGATTACAAACGAATACAATCCGGTCTGTGGAAGTGATTCTCAAACATACCAAAATAGAAGATTCTTGGATTGTGTCGCCAACTGTGGTATACGTAAGTATTGTTATTTTKTTTGTAACTCAATCAATAAACCAACTTTAGTAACCATAGTATAAATTATGTATTATTTTAAAATATTCACTTGACAATTCATTTRTTGTAATGATGTTTAGAATTTTGTGGTAAGCATYTAGTACAGTATAAACTAAATATTAATATTTAATATAGTGTTTTATTAATGGTTTACCTCAATTTTTTCTTGTGATTCAATTAATAGTTAAACATAAATCATTGTAAGTACCATTCTAGAATGCCTCCATACTTGAAATTCATGTTTTTTWAAATTATTCAWRCATAAAACATTCCATTTGTAATTCTGATACAGAAGATTTTCTAAAATAAATTCTCTAACTGTGTCAAATCACATCAACATTTTATTTTTTGRAAAGTGTGTATTAGTTAATTTATTTTAAATAAATGTATGTGATTTTTGATTATTATTAAACACGATTCAAGCTAAAATAATTATCAACGTAAACTAAAAATATACCAAATATCATGGCGACATGACTAATATGTGGGATAATATGTGTTTAAATTTAAAAAAAAAGTTGTACAGATAGCTAGATCTTATGGACTTGTTTCACCGTAAATGTCGCCTAAACTCACTATCTAGATTTTGACATTTTAACCACTGATATTATAATACGAATTACGAACAACTTATTAACATTCTATTATAATGGTTATATAAAAATTATTTTAGCATGTGAAAATCTTAAAACAACATTTCTAATTCATATTTAGTTTCCAAAAAACTCCAAAACGTTCTAAAAAAAATTAAAAAATTGTAAAATARTACAAAATAAACTATGTTATTGTTATTCAAAAGTATATAAAATACAATTGTGACAAGACAATCATTGCCCAATAAGCTTTGGAAAATAATACAATAATTATTATTTTTGATTTGTTTTACAGCCACCGAATTCAGCTACATCGGTACTTGTGTTACGACGACACAACGAAGTACTCTTGCATGATGGAATTTCAAAAGTTCCCTATTACTTTTGATAGGTAATTGATTTTTACATAGATAAATATTTTTCACCATAAATTACACATCAACAATTATAATTGTATTTAAATATTATATTGTAGTTTAAAATAATTTGTGTACAGTTTCATAAAACGATAACTACTGTATGATTATAGTCAATAAAATATTGCGTACATAATATATGTTTTATACTCATGTGTAATGTATAAGTCAYCRATTGTTTTTAAAGCAGCCGAGTTTTCGTGAGAAAATGTTTAATGTAAATATTAATATAATTGTGTTAAACGAAGAATATTGGATGGATCACGAGGACAAGTGACTGGAAATTCATATTATAGTATACGGCGGTGGTAGAGCAGTTTAGAAGCGGTCGTGCAAAGTAAATTCAACAACAATGGTCGTGTAATAGGTTAAATTATATTCCCAATGCAATATAGGGTCGACCGACAGCGACAACAATGACACCAGTGTAATTCGTTTAACTCAGTTTCCTCCGAACCAATCTTTGAACTTCAGATTTTTTTTCTTATCAAGGTCTCCCTGTTTTCTACCTCCTTGTTGTCAAAGTTCTACGGTACAAAATAATATTCAAACGTGTATACGTAAACTGTGGCGATCGCTTACACCGCATCTAATCTCCGATGTGGTATCGATGACAAACTGAGGTTGCAAGTCAGGGAGATATGAAATCCACTGTATAGGAGCAAACATGTATCACATGTATGATATTTAAGCCAAATACCGAGCCGGAATATCATATAACTGAACAAAAATGTCCCTGTTCCTCTGCACAGTTAAGCACGACACCGCGTTCACCCCAACACAACTCCAGCAATATAATATGAAATTATACTTATAATTTCGTACATTGTACATAATGTGTGTTTAATATGTTAACAAAGTGATTAAATTGGCTATTGGCAGTATAATAACATTGACAATTTTTTCATAATGTTATTACTATTTTTTTTTTATAAATGTTAGATATTTTTTTGTGAAAGCATTATATGGGCTTAACTACTCACTGTATTTTACGAACTATACTGCTGTACAAGAGCTGTACAACTTAATTTGATGTATATTTATTTGAAGTTTGATAGCAATAYCAAAGTTTAGCGTGTGGAAGTTAAATAMAATTGGGTGGAATACATAAATAAAATTATAACTAATTAGTAATTACTGTCTACTGATTCAATATAATCTATGTTCAATACGACGTTCCAATATAACTTTATTGTATTATGTATTTTAAATTGTATATTTCTATAAGTTACTTAATACTACAATGATATTAGGTACCTATAATATAGTAAAAAAAACTGAATTCGTTAACAAATTCTCTGTGAAACGAGCATAGCCATTGTACCTATCCGATACACGCGCCACTGAATTTTAGTCGAGATGAACATACCTATTACTAATATTGTTGTCAAACAAAGACTCCTTCGACGATGAACGCTGCGGTTCATCGTGATGTACGCATACGGAACGCGTCTCGGCCGATAAATTTATTGGCATAACCTTGCGACGGGTCAAAGTCATTTTTTAACGAAGCGCACCGCAATATTCACATCGTGACGAACACATTTCCAAAACGCATTTACCTAGTAGACAGACGAATGAAATAAAAAAAAAA